TCGGTGTCAGTTATAGTTATGTTCCAGAATATTATTTGTATGGATAGTGGCCAGGTATTCATAGGATGGAAGCATATTCCATTCATTTCTTTGTAAACGATGTATCGTTCCCTATCAAGACTTGCGTTAGATAATGCGTTCGCGTCCTCCGTGGCTTGGCGAAGGAATATCTCTATAGCATGTTCATCCTAAAATAGCAGTTAAGTGTGTAAATCATTTGTTTAGTATCCTCGTGTAAATATGTCTAAGCATTTTGTTTAAGGGGTATAAACAAAAGCCCTCTAGTAATTTTCTGGTGTATTTATAAGCGAATTATAAACTGTAAGCGTCGAACGAATAATAATATAACAATTTGGCTTATTGATAGATCATGTAATAAAGTAAAAAACATAAACAACATAAGCGGTATATTTTATGTGTAAAATAATTGAAATACAAAATTGTAACATGCGGGTGGGGGTAGAAGTACGTCCTACCAGCTGAATACGAACTAGAGCAAACAGTGGATGTTCAGTTATTGTGATTGGCAGTGTATTTAGTGCGGATAAGTCTATCTCTCAGGGAAAGTGTGTTAGTGTGTGTGAGGGTGGGTACCGGTGGAAATAGTGTGCAGAGTTCTGGGTCATTGTGGATAAGGTGCCAGTTGTGTAATATCGCGTTGTTGATACGTATACCTTGTTCATTGTAAGGTGTGACTATGGGGAAGATGTGGGTGTCATCGGCTTCTTTGTTTTTGTGGATAAGATCTTTCTGTGTGTGTAATAGGGCTTTAGTGATGTTCCTGTTAATAATATCAAGATGGTACCCCTTAAGAACCAATTGGCGCGCTAATGTGCGGAGCTCCTTATATAGGTGGTGGGAGTCAGATATAAGCCTATTGTATCTGATCGCTTGGCTGTGAATGAGACCTGATGTGATATGATGTGGGTGGTATGAACTGAAATGTAGAAGGCTCATTGTGTCGGTGGGTTTACGGTGAATTGTGCTCTGTATTTTATCTAGATGGTTCTTGTAGAGAGTTAGGTCCATAAAGTCAATGGAAATATCTGAGTGGTTAAAAGTAAATTTAATGGTGGGGTGCAAGTTGTTCATAAATGTCATAACATGTTCGAGATCATCTATAGTGCCTGTGAATATGAAAAAAATGTCATCGATGAATCTTTTGTAGAACGTGATGCTGTCTTTAAATTGTCCAGTGACGGCTTCGTCTAATGTGCCCATAAATATGTTAGCGTATGGTGGTGCCATGCGTGTACCCATCGATGTCCCTGTCATCTGTAAATAGTTGCGGTCGTCAAACTGGAACGTCGTGTTTGTCAGAATGGTGTCAATCATAATCTGTATATACGCTACAGGTGGTGAATTGGGTGGTCTTAGGTCATGTGGTATTTTATTAAAAAGTAGTTTGATGGCTTCTATACCATCCTTATGGGGTATGTTAGTGTACAGGGAGGTAACGTCAGCAGTGACGAAGATGTATTTTTGAGGCGGTAGTGGTTGATTTTGGAGCATGTGAAGAAATTGTGTGGAGTCTCTAAAGTATGATGGAAGTGTTTCGGCTAGTGGTTGTATGAACTTAGTCACAAAATATGAGAGGTGATCTGTGGGACCATCGCAAGCAGATACAATAGGTCGGAGAGGAATTCCAGTTTTGTGTATTTTGGGGAGTCCATAGAACAGGGGAGGGCGACAAGGATTGTTTGGACGTATGTAATTTGCAGTCTTTTCGTCAATCACTCCTTTGAATAAGATGTAATCAATTGTTGATACAACGTTCCGTGCCATTTCTATGGTGGGGTCGTATAGTAGGAGTTTATATGTGGTGTCATCTGCTAGCATGGTGTTAATTTTCTCTTCATAGTCTCTCCTGTTTAAGATGCAGATGCTACCACCTTTGTCAGCTTGCTTGATAATGATATTGTTATTATTTTTCAGTGTTAAGATTGCTTCTTTCATGTTTTTCGTTAGGTTGGGGTGTGCTATGTTTATTCTCTCATTTAGTACTGTGTCTGTTTCACTCTTTATCCTTTCAAAGAAAAGATTTAAATTTGCATTGTTGGATGCAGGAGGGTTCCAGACCGTGTCAAGTTTCCTCTTCATTGGTGTTTGTCGGGGTAGTCCTCCATTGTCCTTAAAATAAACTCTCAGTAGCATATTTCTTTTTAATTTTGATATTGCATCTTTAAATGTCTTTTCCGGAACGTATTGGTCGTTTTGAATAAAACCCAACCCTCTGCTTAATACTTGCCTCTCCGCTTCAGTGAGGTCGTAGTCCGATTTGTTCGTAATCATTCGATTAATCATTTCCGCGGTGGCTCTTGTTTTCTCCACCCTAATCTTATAGTGAAACGATCCTCGGATGTTATGCATATCAAACAAATCTTTCATTGTAATCGGAGTGAATGTCCTTGGTTCATCATTTGGTGTGAAGATTGATCCGTTGTTCTAGAAAGTTATGGAGAAAGTCATTTAGCGTTGCAGGTGGTAAGCTATGGGTGGTTCATCAGTTCAGTGTGTCTATAGGTATATGTACACCCGTAATTAGGTGAGTAGAGAGACAGCCCGCTACTTAGGAATTTAAAAATAACAAGCTTTATTATAACCCATAATAATGTGTGTATAAAAGTAATCTGTGTTACGTCATTAAATATATATGTTATGAAATGTGTGTTATAAAATGTATAGTTGTAATAAAATGAATCGATGCATTCAAGAATTAAAAATTGTGTAATAAATTAAATATATACATCAGACATGTCCTCGCATCGAACCCGGAACCTTAGACACCGCAGGTTGCGCACAATCCACTAAACTATAACAACTTGTATATTGCGGACAAAATAACATATATAAACTAAAATAAAACAAGTATAAAAAAAATATTATTAGAAAAAAAATATAATATTAATTTAAAATCTAAATTAAAAAACTAAAAAAGTAAATAAAAAGTATAATAAGTGGTGAGGTATGCCACTAAAAAAAGGAGATTGAGACTACAGATGTGAGCATGGTGAGGGCTACAGATGTAGCATGGTGAATCGGCTGGTGATGTCTAGTCGTATAGTCAAATCTAAATGGATAATTGCTCACCCATGTAACACTCTCTCTTGGGTAATTCAAAAGAAAATAATCAAAAAAAGAACAAATTTTTGATATACTGATTTTGAAGACCGTTGATGTCTACAGGTGTAATGGTGTAGTGCATTAGTATGTACCGTTTGGTCGTCTAGTATGGTCTCGTTATGTCTTCGTTCACATTAAAATCGGGTGAATAGAAAGCTAAACACACTCACTCCTTGCGCTTATGGGCTAGCACATCAGAGCCAGACGTGAGACCTACAGAATGGATTTCAATTGATCGAATGCACACATTAGTCACCGTAGGCCACAAGCCATCACTCTTAGCCAAAAGAGCTACTGCCCCGTGCTGGTGTGGAATGATGTGCTATGGAGTGAGATTTCAGATCCGAGCACATAGTCAGCGAGCGCTGATCCGACGTGCATTGTGGAGCTTCCGACTGAACGTGTGCGTGAGTGTCAGCGTAGTCATTAGGTTATTGAGCGCCGTAACCACATCCAGTGGGATAGCCTAATGTCCGTTTTGTCGTTGTGACGTACATTGGAAAAAGTCGGGGCTCACCAGCCACAAAGAATAAATTTTTGTTTATGCGACACAATGATCGCAAAAAGTGACCAACGGAGCCGTCCAGTTTTGTAGACCTGAGAGATGTGATAATAAAAACAGTTAGAAGATGGTGTCATTGAATATAAAATAAAAATAATATGAGAATATAAAATGAGTGATAAGACTTTTGTGAAGGTAAAGAACGAAGTAAATGCTCGGAGGCAGGGAGAGAACAAACTAACACTCTAATCACTCTGTATGTAGATCATATGTAACAAAGAACAAATATTTGATATACTGATTTTGAAGACCGTTGATGTCTACAGGTGTAATGGTGTGTTTAATTAACTGACTAACCAGCTTCACTATTATTAATTATAAACTAGGACTCATTAAAACTCTGATTGACAGGGCAAAATCAACAACAACTGGATAAGTTTTCATCTAGATTTTGTAAAAATTAAACAAACTCTCCAAATAACTCTTTCCCCTTAAAATAAACTGACAAAATCTTAAAAATTTTACTAAACAGTCTTATCTCTCCTAAAGAAAACATGTCATCTTTAAAACCATCTGATATACATTACTTTAAACATTGGAAAAATTTTAAATACATTTTAAATGAGTAAAAAGTTTTAACTCATTTTAAAATAAGTAGTATGTTTCCATCAAAAGACCCCTTTCCCTCAAGTTTAAAATTATTTGTTGTCTATAAATTTGTTTGTTGGATACATTGGTGAAACCACCAGAAAGTACAAAACAAGGGTTTCAGAACATTTAAATTCAGATAAGGTTTCCCATATTTAAAAACACCTTAATTCATTACAAAAATGCAAAATTTCAACAAAGCCTGATTGCTTTTCCATTATTGACAAAGCTTCCTCCAAGTATGAACTCAAAATTAAGGAAGGGATCCATATTGAGATGGGAAAAACCTATTCTTAATACACAATTAAAACCATACACTATTACTATAACAATATAATTTCTCAATTATCTTTATATTTCCTATTTTGTTTGTTATTAATTATTTCACACCTTTTGTATAATCTTTTGTAAAATTTCATGGTAATTATTTGTAACTTTATTATTATTATTTTTTTTTAATTATTCACCTTCTCAAGGCCTGAAGGGGCCACTACAGTCAAGGAGGCTACTCATTTTTTTTTTTTTTTTTTGTAAATTGTGGCACAACCCTCTCTCAACTCTTTAACTCCGAAACACGAACCTTGACAAGCAAGGCCGCTGCGTGGAGAAATTAAGTTGAGCGCGGTACTTCCAGGCAGTGATATTTTCGTACACGAGAACGAAAACGAGAACAAAAAAAAAAGCCTTTTGTTTACGAAAACAAAAACTAAAACGAAATTTATTTTAAGAACGAGAACAGAATAAAAACGATAATTTTAAATTTTCGAACGGAATAAAAACTGAATCGAAAATTATTTTAAAACGAAATATTTTCGTTCTAGATTTGAAACGAGTTGAATTATTTGATATATATAATTATTATATTACAATACATTATAATGATATATTATTCGAACTTAATTGAATTTTATTCAATTAAGTTTGAATAAGTTTAGTTATGATATAGTTCGAATATATTTATTCGAATATATTTTTTCGAACTAAAAAAAATCAAACTGTAAGACCAACACAACTACGCGATGAGTTTGAGTAAACTTTTTGCTGGTAGGAAGAGGAATAGTTCAGTATGGAAATGGTTTAAATACGATGCGTCATCCGACAAATCAGTATGTTTAGTTTTACTTGATGGTGAAAAAGTATGCAATACAAAGTTGTGTGGAAAGAACCCAACAAATCTTAAAGTTAGTTTATCTGTTAGAGGATATGTTTTCATTTTGAAACAACCGACTCATTTTTATCATTTTAGAGTAATTATTCAATAACATATACGAACTTATTTATACATTAATTGATAAACAGATAGATAAATAAACATATAAATATACAAACAAAAAATTATATAAATATGTTTATTTTTTTCTAGCTACATTTAGCAAGAAACCATAAGTCTGTACACGTTGAGCTGGAAGAGTCGGAATTAAAGAAATTAAGTGAAATAAAGCAAACAGGGATAAAGAGAAAAGCAGTGGATGAAAATGGACCCACTCTTTTAGAATCGTCCTCAAATCAGAACCAGACCTTGATTCAATGCATTAATCGTAGGAATACTGCATGGCCTATTAATTCACACGAGCATAAAATTTGACTAAACTCTCTTATTCAAATGATAATTGCAACATGTAATCCAGTGACATTGGTGGATAATGCGAGTTTTAGAAAGTTAGTTAATACCTTGGATTATAAATTTTCATTGCCTGCTTCTGCCAAAATTACTAGCCTACTTAATGAAGAATTTACTGTTTTAACGAGAAAACTTCCTTGAAATAAAAAAGTAAATACTAAACACCTTGAAATACTAAACACCTTGAGCAATTTGGAGATGCCAAAGATGTAGCAGTTAAAATGCTTGAAGATCTACGCCGTCGTTTTGCTGTTCTTTTGCAGCCAAATGATCCTAACTTTAATCCATTGCCATGTGCCGCATGTCTACTTGACCCCACATGTGCAATAGCTCTTTAAGGTAATGAGCATACACAAATCAGAGAGTGTGCAAAGAAATACATTTTGTCAGAGGCTAAAAAATCGGTGCAACATGATTTACCTTTAGCAAGTGCATCTACTCTTTCTGTTGAGATTGCTCCAGAAATAAATGGATTAACAAAATGGAAATTTTTAGCGGCAAAACAGCGAGTAGAAAAAATAAAGTATATTCCAGGTAATGAAGCACAAAATGAACTCAACAAATATTTTATTGAAATAAGGAACAGCTCTATGTGCTAAAATGCTTTAAATTTCTGGAAGATGAGACGTGCTGTTTACCCACATATTGCACCATTAGCTGAAGACCTCATTGCAGCTCCTGCAACTCAAGCATATGTTGAAAGACTTTTTTCAATCTGTGGCTTGCTCACAAATGGACGGAGAAATCGAATGTCAGCGTCATTGGAAATGCGAGTTTTCTTAAAACTAAATTCTCATCGAGTCTAGATGATAATCATATAATCACTAGGCCCTTTATTTGTAAAATATATGAGTAATTATTAAAGTCTATACAATAACTATTCATTAGTTTTTATTGTTACCAAATTTGAGGAGTTTTTTTTATACCTAATAATTGAAATTTTTTTAAGTTTTAGAGCAATAAAAACAGGTTGTTGTTGTGTTTTTTATTAAGGGCGGTGGGCGGGGCTCTAAACTTCAAGCCGTGGGACTGGGTGTATTACATTTAATTAAGTTCTCATTTTTTTGTTTGTTTATAGAACTAAGACTTACTTCTTTTAATTATATATGCCTATATTATTTATATATGCTATATATTATTTATACTAAATTATAATTAGATGAGATAAAAAATTTATACGACAAACGAAAATTGAACTAAATAAAAACTAAAACTAAAATTATTTTAAGATGAACTGAATAAAAACTAGAACTAAATTTATTTACTGAACTGAATAAGAACTAGAACTAAAAACTTTGCCTCTAAACTGAATAAAAACTAAAACTAAAATTATTTTCCGAACAAAAATATCACTGCTTCCAGGGACGTGGTGGGAGTCGAACTCCAAACCTCTTTCTTACAAAGCGAGCGCTCTTACCACTACACCACTACCGCATTTTATGGTAACTATTGTAAAAAACTATGGTAACTATTGTAAAAAACTGTTAAACTTTAAATGTAGCCAAAATTGTTTATTTACATTACACAACAAAACACTAACATAAATACATACATAAGTGACTTACCAGTGGATCAGCACCGCGCCAGAGGTCGAGACAGAACACAAACACACATGAATGAAACAAAAGCATACACAACAAAAAACAAACCTAATTACATACATAAAGTGACTTTATATATATTTATCCTAAGACTGTAGAGAAAGATAACGATTGACAGACGACTTAAAAGATTGCAAATTATATGAATCAGGAAAGCAAGATGAAGGAAGCGAATTCCAAAGAACTGATGTTTGAGGAAAAAAACTAGACGAGTAAGAGTTTTTGGAGCACTTAGGAACAATAACAGAAAAAGGATGAGACTAAATTGAATGACGAGTAACAGAAAAATGAATTTTAGTAGATGGCACAAGAGACCCTAGCTCTTTCGAGCAGTGCCCATTATAGTATTTGTAGAAAAGAGAAAGAAAAGCAACATTTCGACAATGTGACAGAGATTGAAGGTTGGCTGCAAGAGCAGGTAAAACTATGTTTACAATGCGTTTTTGCACCTCGTCTAAAAGAGAAAGGGCATCATTAGAAGATCCACCCCAGATATGGCAGCAGTATTCCATACAAGGCCAGATTTGAGATTTATAGAGATAGAGAATAGAATCCAGAGTAAGAAAGTGACGAGCTCGATAAAGAGAAGCAACTTGAGCAGATTCAACTTTAGCAGATCACTTAAGGAAAAATTATTTATTTATGGAAAAAGAAACTGAAAAACATAAACTTTTAACTAAATTATGCAAAAAGACACATTGAAAATTTCATTGTTACAAAAATGGGTATATACAGTTGTTTGCAAACCATAAATAGTCATAATTGCCCACTTGAATATTTGAGAAAAAAAAAATGAAAATATTTTCCCAATTCTTTCGTACGCAGCTGAATCTGTATTAGCTGTACAAGTTGTTCTTCTGAACAAGTCAAATCAACTTGTGGAAATGTAATGAGCTATTCACATCATTTTCTATCTAATAATAATGCTGAAACCTTGATTTGGGCGCAAAAAAATAAAAACATTTTATTTTAACGCTTTTTTATCCTATCAAGTAATGATGTCTTATTTCTTTTTTACTTGTCCTTACAAAAGGAGATGTTATTTGGTTTTTCTTTTATTTGAAGATAGACTAATGAAGCATGAAAAGCAGTGCTGTTATGTTAGATTAATAATAATAATATACAAAATCACCTCCCCACAATAATTGAAAAGGCTGCTTTAACTGTGGTTAAAGCCCTTTCTCAACTATATAACTCTGAAACACAAACATTGACAAACAAGGCTGCTGTGCGGAGAAGCAAGTTGAGCGCGGTACTACCAGGAATATGATGGGGATTGAATTTGGAATTTCTCGCTTACAAGGTAATTATTACTACACTACTACCGCACAGATTAGGTGGTGATTAGGTTGATTTAAAAAATGTTACACTTTAAAAGTTAAGTACCAGAAAAGTAGAAAAGGAAATTCAAATAGAAACAGCTCTTCATATAAAAACATTATTTACTTCACCAAAAGTTGCCACACTTTACTGGAACAAAAATAATGTACCTGAAGTCAATGAGAATTGCTGTTCTCATAGCAGGACTCACAGAGCACAGAAAAGGAAAACTGCTTGGTGTTCCTGTCATAGCTGATGGCACAAAGAAGACTCAGAAAACTGTTATTCATACTGTGATACAAGAGTGGAGTGAAAATGTAGGTCTGCTTTTGACACAACTGCTTTTAATTCTGGTAGGAAGAATAGGGTCTGTGTCAAGTTGAAGACATTTTTAGGCAAAAAGGTATTCTACTTGGTTTGTTAAATAAACAAACCAAGTAGAGTTGGTTTATTTTTTCAACAAACCAATTCTACCTGAATTCTACTAAAGTTGGGTGACTGATGCAGTATACTATTCTACTAAAATTGGGTGACTGATGCAGTATATAATGAAGCTGCCAAGTTTGTTCACAATTGCAGAGTCATTGATGAAATGGCACAAACCACAGACTTTGCTGGAACAACTGCAAAGGACAAAATACAGAGAAAAAACAGTTGAAAAGCACTGACATGATATCTCAAATTTCAAGAAGACAACTTTGCATGATTCTCTGGCCTAATTTTAGGTTATTGGTGTAGTGCACATCTCTTATTGTTTGTAGTATGATTAAGCATTTTAATTTTATGAACTGCAAACCCTCAAGAAACCAGGACTGTTATATAATAATTGTAACTGATTACTTGAATAATTTGGAAAACAGTAAAATTTTTAACATATATATATATATATATATATATATATATATATATATATATATATATATATATATATATATATATATATATTTATATATATATTTATATATATATATATATATATATATATATATATATATATATATTATATATATATATATATATATATATATATATATATATATATATATATATATATATATATATATATAAATATATATATATATATATATATTTATATATATATATATATATATATATATTTATATATATATATATATATATATATATATATATATATTTTTTTCGTCTTTTTTATTGCGGTTTTTTGTCTCGTATGACCACACCCAATTATAATATTTTAGAAAACATGAACACGGCTGTTTGCAAGTTTTATAATAATGCTGAAAAAGTTTCAAAAACAAAACTAACAAAATAAAAAGAGATTGAAATAAAAAAAAAATAAAAACAAATTAACAATTTTAATAATTTATGTACTGATTTTATTTTTTTTTCTTTAGAGTTACATTTAGCAACAAAATTAGATAAGACGAAGCAAAAAAAAAAAACAGTTTGAAGTCTACAATAAAAAGAATGATTTTCCTTTTCTTAATTTTTTTTTTAAGAGAATAGCAAAAATACAAATTGCAATGTGTTTGAAAAATTTATTTGTATAATTTTAATGTAACAACAAGGGTTGAATTAAGCGAATGCAAAACGCAAAATCTGGAAAAATATCTAGTATTCAAAATTTTAGTTTATACAAAATCGTGTTCCTTGTTTTTAAGGGGAGAATCAACTTAAATTTGTTAGCGAAAAAATAAAACAATAAACTTAAGATTACAATAGTAATAACACTCTAGTCACTAACTGCATTACAAAAGTAATAACACTATAATAGTGTTATTACTTTTATAACGCACTTATAACTTTTAAAAATCATTCTTTGTTCAAGCAACATTGGTATTCCCAAATTTTAATTGAAGTAGAAAAATATCTAGAAGAATAAAGAGGATGTTCAAATAATATTAAAACTAAA